GTTCCCTGAAAACATCTCCTGCATTACGCAGCAAAAATAATAAAAATTCCTTCAACACCCCCCATAGGCAGCTTTTTAGGGCAATCAACTTTGAGCATAATCTAAATCCTTTCTGAACACGGCAAGTGTTCAGGGGCTTTAATGGAAAACAGCCACAGAGTGTCACATGAGAGGCAGTCAAAAAAATGGCAAACCATATGGCAGATTTTCTCACATTTGGATTTGCAGGGATTGGTTTAGGCTAATGTGAACTACAGCACAGAAAGAGGAAGATTAAAAATTGAGCTTATCTTGTCTTTACGGTTACTGTATATCAAAAATAAACACTCCCAAAGTTCTTGTGCAAGAGCCTGTTAAGGAATGTCTCACTTCATCGAATCAAAGGTCTCGCTTACCTGGAATCTTTTGGGAATTTAGGGAGAAAACATAACCTGAGAGAACAAAATGTGCCCAAAATTCAATGTTCTTGACCATAAAGCCTTATTTTACAATTATTATTCATTTGCATTTGTAAATTTTGTTGCGAACAACATCCAACGAACAACCACTATTAGGATTTGCATCAGTCGAAAAAGTCAGAATTGGGATAAAGTACGGATTTAATCTAGATGTCCTTTGACAGAATGAGAATCCCTGGGGTTTAAAAGCAGAAAATAATGGAGACAGACTTCCGAGATGTCAAAACACTTAGGCACAGAAGCCTGACACATTTAAGATCTGAACTGTTGAGAACAATCCAGCGGAAAACCAAAAGTATTATCTCTGTGGGAGTATAATGCTACATCTTTTAAAGTTGCTTACATGGTTTAGCGAAGCCCTAACAGCTTCAAAGCTTCTGTATAAAAGTGGTGGAAACCCAAGCTGTAAACTCTAGATAAATGCTAATCAAGAAGAATCTAAGTTTTAGTTCCCTAAACAAAAATATATTTTTTTCCAAATGTGCAAACAAAACATGTCTTTCACTTGGCCATCTAAACATTTTTTTTATTTCGTTTAATTTAAAGTGCAATGCATCCTCTAATCAAGAAGAATCTAAGTTTTAGTTCCCTAAACAAAAATATATTTTTTTCCAAATGTGCAAACAAAACATGTCTTTCACTTGGCCATCTAAACATTTTTTTATTTCGTTTAATTTAAAGTGCAATGCATCCTAACAGTTGTTGTGTGTTTCAGTGAATCGTTAATATATTAAGTAAAATGCATGATATGTTAACAAACCCAAGCTTTTAACATTCATTTCATTATTTAACTACAAAATAATTGTATCAAATATTCTATGCAGTATTTTCCCCCTATACTGTAAATACATGCAGCTTCTCAACAAGACAAAGATCCATACATAATTCAGATTTTTTTTTAATCAATTTAAAATGCTGTTGATTTTCAGCATTGGTCAAAAAGAATGCAACTCGAATCAATGCACCTTCTCACAGCCTACATGCCAATTAAATCTGCTGGAAACTGTCGTCAAATAGCTCCAGACGCTTCTTTAACAACCTCTTCACTTGGGGGTGGATGCTCAAGAGCTGCTAGAAGCGGTTTACGGTCAAGCTAGAAAAATTAAAGGTAAAGGCGCTCTCGATATGCGCCAAAAAAAGATTCCCAACCCACCAAAACTAAAATGCATGATTATGAACCAATAATATTTTTGAGCAGAACTACAAGAACTTGTAAAAGCACTTGGATATTTAATATATACTAGACGGTAACCAAACTGGAGACTTTCAAATTTCAAAGGAATATCCAAAACAGCCCTATATTTGAGTGAGATGTTGAAAGAAACATAATTGGCCGTAAGATTGTTGCTGATCTTTGATGAAACGAGAGGAAAGGCAAATGCATAGGGGAGCGTTCGAAGAGAGTGAGGGGGAGGTAGATGATGACTAGAGATAAAAATAAAAAGTGACATTTTTCCTGATGGTAATGGTTCTCACAGCACGCAGCTTTGACCTTCAGTTTTGTTTGAATTTGTGACGCTCTCGTGCATGACACCAAATGTGTGGTGACAAATTCACACAGAAAGAGTCTGAAAAGCCAGGAAAACCAAGGTTAGGATGAGTTTTGGCGCGTCCATGTATGTATAAGCTGTTTGCAGGCGGTAAAAATAAATAGCAGTTGAATAAATTTGTCTAATTAAAACAGCGGCATCTCACCAGAGTTATTTATTTAACCAACTGAAAGCTCCACACACATGATCAAACTACATTTGATGTATTTAGAGGCTTCAAGGCTAGATAAAAAGACAACTTCAAACTAAGATTACGGAAGTCCTAATACATCAACAACCCAACCCAACACATTCAACAACCTTTTCACCAAACCTTGAGCCACCAATAAACGGAAATAATTTAATTGAAATATACTACATTGTTACTTCTAGTGAATGACAATAAATGACCAAGCTGTTCACTACCTTGAACAGAAAAGCGTATCATAAAATTATTATTAATAAAATCAGTTGATGAATTTGATCATAAATTCAATGCTGGTTTGTCAATTATATTAGTTTATTTATTATTAACATTATAATTATTACGAATGGTTATTTTTTCTTCAAAATGTTGAAGAAAAGCTAGCTAGTAAACGTAATAGTCCATGTTACATTACAGAAAATTATTTAGTATCAGAATGAAAACAGAAACAAAAAATATGATACCATTGACAGCCCAAATTCAGCATCAAACTGACCGGTTTGCAGAGGGGGAAAAAATCTTCTTTGCAACTTCTAGCAATGCTGGCTTTCAAGAAGAGTTTAACAACAACAGAGTTTAGAATTTGGAACTTTGACCCTTGAAAAAAGTTTGAGGGATTGATTTATGATGCTCCCTAAAGCGTTATCAGCAGAGCGGGAATGCAAATTCTCGTCATGAAGGTGTGAATCAACTTTTACATACTTCTAGATTTCAGAAATGCGATGGGAGATTAAAGACTTTGGTTGCTTTTTACGTCCAAAAACATACACGCTAAGCTCTCATTTTGAATTGAATGGAGACTTTCAATAGACCAAATTATTTAGTCTACATTTCCTTAGAGCATGCCTAGGATTAATCTCTTATGATGGACAGCACGAGACACAAGAAACAAATCTTTAAGCCTTCAACACAGCAATTGTATTTAAAGCGGAGTTCACACACATTTAACCATTTCTCCGTGACATTTCCAGTCATTCGTGATCAGGATAACGCTTTTAAAATAATTTTATAGGGATTGTACTCTCAAAGAAATATCTTTATTCAATTAACCTACTTTAGGTAATAATTAATTTAATAATCTCTATGACTTTCGCAGGCCTCACAGTGTTTAAATTTCACTATTATCGCCATGGGGGAACTTGTTAAAAGCTCACCGTCAAATATCTTTCCCATTTCAGCACAGAATAGCAATGAATGCAGCCATCACCACCTCAGAGCCATGATCCTTCCTGAAACGAGCCTTTTGGTACAAATCAGTAGCCACATGCCATCTCTGAGAACAAAACACATCCTAGTCTTTTTAAACATATCAGTTTATCATATTTGATATGATGGCATGTTAATCAAACGGCAAAAAGCTTTGCCATCTATAGGGTCCCACATATGCTCATATTCAATATCAGAATCAGAATCAGAAAGAGCTTTATTGCCAAGTATGTTTGCACATACAAGGAATTTGTTATAGTGTCACAAGCTTCCAGTACACGGAGACAACAGCACACAGATATTAAAAATAAGATGTGAATAAAATACACATGCATAAATATAAACCACAAAAAAAGAATAAATTGTATGTACAGGTGTGCTATAGATAGAATAGGAATAGAATAAAATAAAATAAAGTTGTAGGGATGTACTAGGATTTAGGGTGATAAATAAGACAATATCTGATATTAATGCAGCATTAGACAGACTCACCATCGTTATATCTACACTGTTGTGGCTGATAGAAAGAGTGACCAGCATTTACTCAAAAGCTGCAGCTAACAGATGCCAAAGCCAAGGGTTTTCTGTCTGACATTAAAAGGGAGATTAACACAAATCTAGGGTTGAAAACTAGGAAACCTCGAGGTTAAGACTCAATAATCTCCCAAGAACATCAGATACGGCGATTTAAAGGGATTAAACAAAGCTAATGAAACATTAGATTTAACGGGGGAGGGGCGGGAAAACAACAGTTTCTGGCATATTTTTGGAAATTAGAACTACAAATGAGTAAATAACGAACAGAAACGCGACTCTGGGCTTCCTAACACCAAACAGAGTTGATATTTGCACGGCGTTTTGGCTACACTGCCTCGCCGCTTCAAAGCAGCAATCCATTAATGAAAAACAATCAAAACTGACTCAAATATCAGCGCATATGTTCCGCAAAAATCTGCTGATTAAGATCAAGGCGTTATATTAAAATGTTCAGTGAAAGACGAGTCTGGCCTGACAAGGCCGCGATAACAGCTCAGCAGTATGCGCAGTGTCATTTTCTTTGTCACCCCCACCTTCCCCTAAAATACAAAATTATTTTCTGACATTTCCCCATTGCAGCAATGCGCGCTCCCGCAGCGCCGGTGATCTGAGGGGAGGGCGGGCGCGCGCAACCCTCCCCCAAATAATACAGTAGCCTACAATAAAGCAGGGAGCGCGCGCTGGCCAAACGGACGCCGCTGATTGGTCAGCGCACAATCCCTCTGTACACGTAACACGCCCCGCTTACAATAAATAAACATCGCCTACATTTCCTCTAAAAAAAATAATAACTTAAAAGAAATGACGTTGGGCCAAAACACCAACAGTTAAACATTCAAATAAAAACGAAAATGTAGGCTCCAATATTTATCAAATAACGGCCGCGCGACTAAACTCATAACTGCGATTTTTTTATGAGGTCCAGCGGGTGGTGAGCAGCTATAAGAAAAAAAATCGTTGCGAGACAAAAAAAATAATAATCCGCTACAGGCAGTAGATTTTCGCCGGTCCGCACACCAAATAAACACATTCAGACAGTTCTGCGCGAGAGGTGAAGCGGCTTACCTACACAGTGAATGAGTTTATGCCGCCACGAGTCCAGCT